CCGTCGCCCGCAAGCTGGACTCGGACGCAAAACGAGCCAAAACGCACCCTGCCCTTCAGAGCTGGCGGGGAAAGAGACGAAGAGACACATCTAGGGAAACAAAGCGAGCAAGGGGGCGGCCTTGGAAGGTCTCATCGGGCCACCCCCGGGCGCCGCGCGGGGGCGATGGGGAAGAGGAGGAATAGGAGGAGGACTGGGGGGAGGAGGAGGAGGGGGAGGAGGATGAGGAGGAGGGGGGGGGGGGAGGAGGAGGAGGAGGAGGAGGGAGGAGGAGGAAGGAAGGAGGAGGAGGAGGAGGAGGAGGGGAGGGCGAGGAGGACGAGGAGGACAAGAGCGCGAATAAAAAACGAGGACGAGGATGCGAGGACTAGGACGGGGGCGACGCGGACGAGGACTCACGGAACCATCTAGAGGTATTATTGCGGCCGTTGCTGCTGCCGGTGCTCTCTGTGAGTTCTGGGACGTCCTTGGAGGCCCTCCTGGGAACCCCGGAAAGCTTCCTGGGATCATCCTGGAGGCATCGATTACAGGGCGGGGGGGGTCCCCACTCGCCCCCCCCCCCCCCCCCCTAGGAGCCGGCAAACCGCTTCTTGGGGCTATTTCCGAGCGCTCTTGGGCGTTGTTGGAGCGGTCTCGGGGCCGTTTGGAACATCTTAGGAGCCGTCTTGGGCTCGCTTGGGTTATCTGAGCCATCTTAGACGTCATCGTGGGTTCTCTGGGGCCGCTCGTGGGCCTTCGGGCGCCTCTCGGGGCCCTCTTGGGGCCCTCTTGGGGCTCTCTTGGAAGCCCCGGAGCGCATCTTGGGGCCATCTTCGAGGCTATCGATCAAAGGAGGGACTCACCCGATCGAGGCCCCCCTTCGGGGGCCACGATCCTCGTGAGGCGCGTCAAAGATGGGCCTTCCCAGGGGCCGATCTTGGACGCTCCAACGGATCGCGCCCCCCCCCCGCCCAGGCCCAGCGGGGGGAGGGCGCGGGGGGGGGCCAAGGCGCCTTCCAGACAGCCAGCCGTATAGCTCACTCTCACCCGCCCCCCAACACATAAGTAACACCCGAGCCTCGGCATCTCCCGGCGTCGTCTTTTGATGGGGAGCTACTTGGAACCAAAACTGACCCCACGTGCGCGACGCTGGGGCGAGGTGCGCCACGCGCGCCAGGCGCGCCACGCGCGCTGGGCACCCCTGAGACCCGCGCGTGCCAGGCACGCCGAGTGCGCCGGATGCCCCCTCCAGCCGCGCCAGGCGCGCCGCGCCCTGGGGGCGCGCCGGGCGCGCCCGCGCGCGCGACAGCACGCATCGAGAACATGTCTGCCCCCACCATCCACGTCGAAAACCAATGCCCATCAGCATGTCTGGCGGGCCTGCGCGCAGCAGGCCATGCGCCGCCGCACCCGCCCGTAGGCCTGCTCCGACGTCCCCCCACATAGGCGCCGCCGCACTCGGGTCGGCGCCCGATCGCTGGACGGCGGCAAGGAAGCGGCGGGGGGGGGGGGGGGCGTTCTGCCCCCGACCGCGCGGCGAGCGGCTCCTTCTCCCCCCTTCCCTCCTCGACCCCGCCGCCAGCTCGCCCCCCCGGGGGCCGACGGCGCCGCGTTCGCCGCGGCGGCGGCGAGAGCGAGGGCCACCACGGCCGAGGGGGGGGGGAGGGGGGGGGGCGCCAGGCCTGCGCAAGCGAAGCCTGGGCAGCGGGGGCTCCACGCAAGGATAGGAGCCCAGAGCTCGCGGAGTCTGGCGCGACGGCCGTCTCGTCGCAGGCCATGCGCCTCGCGCCGCCGCCAGGCAAGACGGCGCACTCGTGGGCCGGGCGCGTGCGCGTGTTCGCGCGTGGGTCTGCGCGCGCGCGTGGGCGTGTTTGTGCGTGTGCGTCTCTCTGTGGCTCTATGACACTGTGTCTCCGCGTCTCTGTGTCTCTGTGTTTCAGTGCCTCAGCGTCTCTGTGTCTTTGTGTCGCAGTGTCTCTGAGTCGCAGTGTCCCTGTGTATCTCTCTCTATATATATAATACATATCTATATATGTGTGTATACATGTGTGTCTCTTTGCTTCTATGTCTCTGTGTCTGCGTGTCTGTGTGTCTGCGTGGGCGTGTGTCTGTGTGTCTGCGTTGGCGCGTGGGCGCGCGGGCGCGTGGGCGCGCGGGCGCGTGGGCGCGCGGGCGCGTGGGCGCATGGGCGCGTGGGCGCGCGCGCGCGTGGGCGCGCGGGCGTGTGTGCGCGTGTGCGTGCGTGCGTGTGTGTGTGTGTGTGTCCGTGCGCGCGTACGTGCGTGCGTGCGTCGTGCGTGCGTGTCTGTGCGCGCGTGCGCGCGTGCGTGTGAGCGTGCGTGTGCGTGTGCGCGTGCGCGTGCGCGCGCATGTTTGTGCGCGTGTGTGCGTGTGTGTGTGAGTGCGTGTGTGTGCGTGTGTGCGTGTGCGGGTGTGCGTGTGTGTGTGTGTGTGTGTGGCTGCGTGTGTTTGTGTGTGTGTGCGTGTGCGTGTGTGCGTGCACGCGCGTGCGTGAGTGTGTGTGTGTGTGTTCGTGTTGCGTCCGTGTTGAATGCGTGTTGTGTGTGTGCGTGCGTGCGTGCGTGCGTGTGTGTATCCGTGTGTACGTGTGTATGTGTGTATGTTTGTGCGTGTGTGTGCGTGTGTGTGTGTGTGTGCGTGTGGGTGCGTGGGTGTGTGGGCGTGCGTGTGCGGGTGTGCAGGTGTGCGTGTGTGCGTGTGCGTATGGGCGCGCGTGTGCGCGTGTGCGTGTGTGTGTGCGTGTGTTCGTGTGCGTGCGTGCGTGCGGGTGTGGGTATCGGTGTGGGTGTGGGTGTTGGTGTGTGGGTGTGTGGGTGTGTGGGTGTGTTTGTGTGTGCGTGCGCGTGCGTGCGGCCTTGCTTGTGCGTACGCGGGTGTGCGTGCGTGAATGTGTGTGTGTGTGCGTGGGTGAGGGTGTGGGTGTGGGTGTTGGTGCGTGGGTGTGGATGTGTGGGTGTGTGGATGTGTGTGTGTGAATATGTGTATGGGTGTCTGTGTTATGCCTGTGTGTTTGTGTAGATGTGTGCGTGTGTGCCTGAGTGTCTATGTGTCTGTTCGTCTGTGCGTCTGCCTGTCCGTGTGTCTGTGTGTGTCTGTGTGTCTGTGTGTCCGTGTGTCTGTTTGTGTGTCTTTGTGTCTGTGTGTTTGTGTGTCTGTGTGCGTGCGTTTGTGCATGAGCGTGAATGTGCGTGCGCGCGTGTCCGTGAGTGTGTGTGTGTGCGTGTGTGTGTGTGTGTTCATGTTGCGTGCGTATTGAATGCGTGCTGTGTGTGCGTGCGTGCATGCGTGTGTGTATGTGTGTATGTGTGTGTGTATGTGTGTAGGTGTGTGCGTGTGTGTGTGCGTGTGTGTGTGTGCGTGTGCGTGCGGGTGTGTGGGTGCGTGGGTGTGTGGGTGTTTGTGTGTGTGCGGGTGTGCGTTTGTGCGTGTGTGTATGAGCGTGCGTTTGTGTGTGTGTGCGTATTGCGTGCGCGTGCGTGTGCGTGCGTGCGCGTGCGTGTGCGTACGTGTGCGTGTGTGTGTGTGTGTGTGAGTGTGTGTGTGTGCGCGGGTATATGCGTATGTGGTCGTACGTGTGCGTGCGTGGGTGCGTATGCGCGCGTGCGTGTGCGGGTGAGCGTGTGTGCGGTTGTGTGTGTGTGTGCGTGTGTGCGTGCGTGCGTGCGTGGTGTGTGGTATGTGGTGTGTGGTGTGTGGTGTGTGGTGTGTGGTGTGTGGATGTGTGGTGTGTGGTGTGTGTGTGTGTGGTGTATGGTGTGTGGTGTGTGGTGTGTGGTGTGTGGTGTGTGGTGTGTGGGTGGGTGTGTTGTGTGTGGTGTGTGTGGTGTGTGGTGTGGTGTGTGTGTGTGTGTGTTGTGTGTGTGGTGTGTGGTGTGTGGTGTGTGTGGTGTGTGGTGTGTGGTGTGTGTGTGTGTGTGATGTGTGGTGTGTGGTGTGTGGATGGTGGTGTGTGGGTGTGTGGGTGTGTGGTCTGTGTGGGTTTGTCTGCGTGGGTTCGTGGGTGCGTGTGTGCGCAAGCGCCCAAGTGCGTAAGTGCGTGTGTGCTAGTGTGTGTGTGTGTGTGCGTGTGTGCGTATGTGGTTGTGTGGGTGTGTGGGTGTTTGGGTGTGTGTGTGTGTGCGTGTGGGCGTGTGTGCGTGTGTGCGTGTGCGCGCACGTGTGTGTGTGTGTGTGTGCGGTGTGTGGTGTGCGGTGTTGGTGTGAGTGTGTGTGTGTGTGTGTGTTTGTGTGTGTGGTGTGTGATGTGTGGTGTGCGGTGTGTGTGTGTGTGTTGTGTGTGTTTGTGTGCTATCCCGCTTAGCACCATTGGTAGCACGCAACCTGTGTCGGCCTTCATTGCATCACCCGCGTTGTAGTCGAGGGCGTCCCTGGGCAAGCACACCTTGTCGCGGGCCCATGCTCTGAGGATAGCCGACCCGTGCCACCTATGTGCCCGCAGTCCGCAGGGGGGTGGGGGGGGGTCAAGGGCAACGTTAAGGGGGAACGGCTCACCAGGGGAATGCATCGACCCCCAAGCGCCCATTCATCGACCGATAGGGGCCTGATAGCCCACCTCGCCCAGGAAAGTGATGCTTCACTACCGGGGGTCGACCACCGATCTGTAGGCGATCAGTTGCCGATTCAATCTCAATGTTTACCCCCCCTGTGTCGCCCCCCTCTATCGATTCTCCTCGGGGGAGAGGAAAGGGGCAGACATGATCTCATCTTGATTGGCTCGCGCCTTGTCCTCCAGTTTGACCCAGTCTGTTCATGAGTGGTCTTACCAGGTCTGGTCGGTCCTTGCGGTCCGCCCACCGTTGCACGATCGAGTATACAGTCGAGGCGCTGAAATACCGGCCGCTTTGGGGCTCAGGAGGGGCTCTGGTTTCCGGGCCGCTCCCTTGATCCAAGTCGTGTTCGTGGCCGAGGCTCATCGACGGGAGGATCCACAAGCAGCATGCGGTGGGAGGGAGAGGTCGGTTGGCATGCTGTCGGGCCTCTCGAGATCACGGCGAGCACAGGTTGGGCTTGTTCTTGCTGTGGCCCATGAATTTCGCCCTGATCACGCAGCTCAGCCCTCAGGCTGGAATCCGCCCTCGGTGCACACGTACGTCAGTATCGACACCACCAGCCTTTGCAAATACTTCATGGAGATTGTTGTTTGCCATGGCCTCATGCGTAGCTCGTGCCTTTAACATGCTGGTTCGATTGCGTTGTCATGTTGTCGTATGTATTGGTAGTCCTTGGCGGGCAATTTAGGGCCCACTCCTCCTCCCTCTCCTCGTGCCTCCTCCCCGTCCTCGTCCTTCTCCCCTTCCTACCTCCTCCCTCCCCCTCCTCCTCCTCCTCCTCCTCCTCCTCCTCCTCCTCCTCCTCCTCCTCCTCCTCCTCCTCCTCCTCCATTATTTTCGTTATAATTCCTCCCTGTCGCCCCCCGAGAATTATCGGTAGGGCGGGGCGGCCGTTTCGCCTAAGATTTCTTCACCACTTATGATGCTTAAGCTTAATGTGCAACAGCTTCGCGGATTGAGGGCGAATCGTTGTCAAAATATGGTTCTCGCTTTAGTGTTGCGCGCACTTGTCGCAAAAATGCAAGAGCTTCACGGATGGATGGCGGGTGGTTTTTACAGTGTGGTTCCCATTTTAGCGCCGTTCACATTCGCAGGAAAAGTTTGCAAACGTTTCACGGATGTAGGGCGGGCCGTTTTCAAAATGTGGTTATCGTTTTAGTGCCGCGCACATTCGTCTTGAAAGTTTGCAACAGCTTCACGGATGGAGGGCGGCTCCTTTCCAAAATGTGGTTCTCGCCTTAGCGCCGTGCACAGTTGTCTTGGAAATGTTAAATAGTTTCGCAGCCAGAGAGCGGTTTCTTTTCAAAACGTGGTTCTCGCTGTAGCGCCGCGCGCAATCTTCCAGAAATGGTGTTCTGGCACGATTTACGACTGTCAAGTCGCAACAGTGTCGTTGATTCGCGGTGTTGACGTCCAGAAACGGTATTATGGCACGAATTGTGATTGTCAGGTCGCAACACTGACGTTGTTTCGCGGCTCTTTGGCACGGTTGAAGACTGGAGATGTTCGAACAGTTGTCTTCCAACGAAGCTCTTCTTGCAGTGAAGGTAGATTCTTACAGGAGCCCATGAAGGGATCCTGGAGGGAGGGTTTTCTGCAACCTCGTTGATGAGTCTTTGGTTTACACCGGTCCTCCTCCTCCCTCGTCATTGTCCTCCCCATCCCCCTCACAGAGGCGCCGCGTCCCTGCTGGGGGTTTGACGGTCCACCCCCCCCCTGCTCGGGCCATCACCCGAGGACGACTTTGGGCCCCTTGGGGCGGTGGTTCAGCGGGGGGCGAGGTCGGGCCGTCGATGCCCCTCGGGCCGCCGACGGCCCGTACCTCTCGGCTTCTGCTCGCTTGCTCGCTTGCCCCGTCCCCCCTCCTTCCTCCTCCTCTCCGCCTCCTCCTCCTCCTCCTCCTCTCCTCCTCCTCCTCTCTCCTCCTCCTCCTCCTGCTCCTGCTCTCCCCTACGGCTCCTCCCTCCTACTCTCCTCCTCCTCCCTCCTCCGCCGCCTGCCCTCCTCCTCCTCCTCTCCTCCTCATACTCCTCATACTCCTCCCCTACTCCTACCTCCTACTTCCTATCCTCCTCCGGCGTCTACTCCTCTCCTCCTCCTCCTCCTGTCCTCTCCTACTCACCTCCTCCTCCTTTCTCCCCTCTCCTCCTCCTCCGCCCTCCTCCTCCTCTCCTCCTCCTCCTCTCCTCCCATACTCCTCTCTCCTCCCCCTCCCCCTCCTCCTCCTCCTCCTCCTCCTCATCTCCTCCTCTCCATCCTCATCCTCCGTCCTCCCTCCTCCTCCTCCTCCCCTCCTCCTCCTCCTCCTCCTCCTGCGTCCTCCTACTCCTCCTCCTCCTCATCCTCCTCCTCATCCTCCTCCTCCCCTCTCCTCCTCCTCTCCTCCTACCTCCCCTCCTCCTCCTCTCCTATCCTCCTCCTCCCCCCTCCCCGCTCCCCCTCCTCCCCCTCCTCCGCCGCCCCCCCCGCCTTCCGCTTCTGCTCTCACCCTCCTCTCCGCCGCCCCCCCCGACCCCCGTCGGCAGCCTTGGCGACCCCGCGAGGCCTACTTCGCCGGGGCGCGGGTGGCCTTCCGCGGGGCGCTGGCCGTGCTGGGCGCCGCCCCCTCGCGCGCCTCCTCGGGGGGGAGGGCGGGCGAAAGTTGAGCATAAACGTTGAATGACAGACAGACAGACAGACAGACAGACAGACAGACAGACAGACAGACAGACAGACAGACAGACAGCATCCGCAGAGGAAAACGGAACAAATGAGGCACGCGCAGGAAAAATCAGGGCTGACAGATCAGCTCCGTGAGGCCTAAGATGTGCTAGAAGGTCCGCGCAGGTGTCCCGAGCCGGCGCTGGAGTGCCGGGGCGCCGTGGAGCGCCGCCAGGGGAGCCTCCGATCTGCTTCTCGGCCCCCTGCGAGGGAGGGGGGGGGAGGGGGCCAGCCAGGCATCTTCCACGCCTCTTCCTGGGCAAGCGGGGAGGAGGCGGGTTTTCCTTGGGCTGGCAGTCGTGAGGAGGGGGGCCCGGAGGCGCTCGCGGGGAAGGGGGGAGGGGCCTTCCAGGGCAGGAGGCCTCTCGCACGCGCCGCATGCCGAGAGGGCCGGCGGGCTTGCGCCCGGGAGCCCTTCAGAGCTTTCGGCGGCCTCCGGAGCCCTTCAGAGCCTTCGGCGGCCTCCTCCATCCTCCTCCTCGTCCTCCTCCTCCTCCTCCTCCTTCTCATCCTCCTCCTCCTCCATCCTCCTCCTCGCTCGTCCGTTTCTCCGGGCCGATTTGCGTGAAGCGCAAGAGGCGCCCGTCCCTCGGAGCCTCTGCCGTGCACGGAGCCTTCGGCGGCCCCCTGGCGCAGGCCCGGTTGCGCATCGACCCTTGAGAATGGATGGACGGTACGCTCTGCGTCGTCATGGAGGAGGAGGAGGAGGAGGAGGAGGAGGAGGAGGAGGAGGAGGAGGAGGAGGAGGGTGAGGAGGAGGAGGAGGAGGGTGAGGAGGAGGAGGAGGAGGAGGAGGAGGAGGAGGAGGAGGAGCGAGAGGGGAGGAGGAGGAGGATGAGAGGAGGAGTGAGTGAGTGAGGCAATCGCTAAGCGAGTCAAGATTAAGATCATGGGAAAAGGGGCGGGGGAAGGGGGGGCGGCGGTCCTTGGTGTAGAGGTTGTCGAAGGGCGGCCGCACGCGCGGGCGCGAGAGAGGCGCCGCGCTCGCCGCTCCTCCTCCTACCCTCCTCACCCTGGGGACCCCGCACAACCCTCTGTAGGTCCCCCGCCAACACTCGCATTCCTGAGGCGGGCAACTTTCTCTGCTTTACTAAGAACCTTAGGCCACTGATGGGCCTGGATTCTTGATAAATATTCTTGACAATGAGGGGCTGGGACTGGGACAGAAGGAGGAGGAGGAGGAGGAGGAGGGGAGGGGAGGAGGAGGCGGAGCTGGAGGAGGAGGAGAGGAGGCGGGAGAGATGAGGGGAAAAAGAGGAAGGAGGGGAGGAGGAGGAGGAGGAGGAGCTTTGCCGAGGGCCAGGTCTGGGCGTGCCCACTGCTGCTACCTCCTCGCGCTCGCGCGTGCGCCCCGGGGGCCGCAGCCCTGCTCAAACGAAGAACTGCTCCTCCCCCGCATCCTTCGTATCCGCATCCTTCTCCGTCCTCCTCCTCCATCCTCCTCCCTCCTCCTCTCATCCATCCTCCTCCCCTCCTCCTACTCCTCCTCCTCCTCCTCCCCTCCTCTCCGCCTACCTCCTCCCTCCTCCTCCTCCTCTCCCTCCTCCTCCTCCTCTCCTCCTCCTCCTCCTCCTCCTCCTCTCCTCCATCCTCCTCCCTCCTCCCCTCCTCGCCCCTCCTCCTTCCTCCTCTCCTCCTCCTCCTCCTCCTCCTCCTCCTCCTCCTCCTTTCCTCAAACAAGGAAAGCCCTGCCCGCATCCTCCTTCGCTGACTACAAAGGGTGTGGTTACGCCGGGGTGTGGTTTGCGATCGGCGCCGTTGGGGCCTGGGGGCACGACACTGTCATCGTCAGGCCTCCTCGGGGCGCGGCGGAGAGCTCGATCGAGGTCCCCGCCCGCCCCCCAGGGTGTCCCCCAGGGTGCTGGGTGCAAGCCACACCTTGTGCAAACCACACCCTTCGGAGTCGCCGACTCCTGGTCGTTCGCCAGGCCTCCTCGTGTATGCACACTTTCTCACAGGATCAGAGTACAGCTGGCACAAGGCGTAAGAACAATCCTTGTTTTGAAGGGGAACCCATCTATGTTTTGCGCCTGTGGGTCTCTATCTTGGAAAGTCCTCTGTCTTGGGTATCTCCCAGCGGCATCGGAATTTCGGCGAAGGGGCTAATATTATTGATGCGCGTTATTGTCGCCACATTTCGCCTGCATCATCGGCCATCACTGCTTCCAGGGCCCCCCTTGCGACGCCCAGTTCCCTACCTGGCCGTGAACCTGGTGTACAACGTGATGACCACAGCCGTGCTCCGAGGGCTCTCGGCAATGGTCTGCATTGGGGTATCGTGG